ATTACTAAAATTTGATATCAGATTTCATAATAGACCACATTTAAATTATAGCTAGTCAAATCTTCTATTCATGTATTTTAATCCAATTTCCATCAGGGATTAGTCCTGCTACTCTGGTTGTGACTAGAATATAGTCTCATGTACATGTATAGAATCATGTGTTATGTTTCCACTGGTGCAGCCTTCCGTTCATTCGTATAACATTAGTGGAAATAGGCACTATTAGGAAACGATCGAGAACGATTTCAGAATGAATACATGTTGTAGCGAATCACATAGAGTAGAATAAAGACAGAGAGTAGATTAATAAAATTATACAAGTAAATATTCTTACTCAAAAGCACTGGGAGGTCTGGGATCGCGTTTGCGGGCGCGGTCAGTGAACAGGGTGCGCTGTGGCTCGCGCGGTGTGAACGGCCGGCGCGTGCGCAGCGGTCGTAACCCGCCCACACTAGATCCACTTGATGTCCCACTCATTTCTGGAAAATTACTATGTCATATATACTCATGTTTTTTATAGTACTCGTTGGCAAACATATGAAATCGCTAAAATATATACAGGGTTAAAATTTTAAAGATGCGCAATACCTTTATTGGAAAGAGGAGAGGATGTACAAAGAAAGAATATTTACCTTATCTGTACATCCATTTACCCTCTTCATGCCCTTTTTAGAATACAGTAGCTCGAAAGGAAAAAACGGAACCCTTATAGGATCACTCTATTGGCCGTCGGTCTCTCAGCACCCTTTTTTTCGTAATTCCTACTCAATTGCTAATGAAATTTGAAGCTTGATTAAGTTCACAGAAAATCTCGAATACAATCAGGTAAGTTGTTTCTTCAACAATAAATATACGTGTTATAATTGAATTTCCTTGGCAACCGTACAACAACAATCTTTAACAACTTGACCTTAAGTTCAATAACCTTGGAGCAAAATATGAATCTTTGGACAAATTGGTGTCGCGTGTTAATAGCTGAATCACGCTACACCGGCTACCTATTAGCCGCTATGACAACTTGACACTGATATATTAAGTTTATGATTGAAACGAAGAAATAATGAAAAATGTTTACTATTTTATTTACTGTATTATTCAAGTGCTAATTTTAAAATATAAAACAGAATAATAATCCTAAATTTATGGTCTAATAATTATTTTGGGAAATTGAACTGCAAATATTATGTACAGAAAAATTGCGTGAACTTTTTTCGCAGGAGTTTAACATGTCGTACTATAATATTGTAATTCAATAGCATATTACTAATAAATTAGTAAAACTAGTGTACGTCCTAGAGACATAGGTTTTAAGATACAATTTTGAGAGAAATTTTATGGTCATTTTGACTATAAATTGTGTCAAAGTGTACATAGACGAAAAATGGAATAATTAAGGTTTCGTGACATAAAATATTTCAATATTACTCATATGTTATAAAACAATGATAGATTATGTAATAAGTGATAAATGACGCAAATCGCGACATAAGAATTGGCCATATGCCGTGACTGAAAGTAATTCATTCGTGCGACATTCGCAAGGTGAAATGTGATGTCGTGCTAAGTTAATACAGATTTAGTGTTAGGTAAAGACATTCCTGCGAAACACAACACGAAATATATATGTAAAATTTAAATATTTCAGTCTGCAAACACTTAAAAGATTTACGAACAAATATAGTAATAATAAGTAAAGCTTTTTATTAAAATAGTAGCAGTCGCCCGCAACTCCGCCCGCGCGTATTTAAGAAAATAACCTAATTAGTAGCCTATGTGTTCTTCCAGAATATGTTCTACATCCATTCAAAATTTCAACAAGATTCATTAAGTAGTTCTGAAGATCCCTTCATACAAACATCCATCTAAACATTCGCATTTATAATATTAGGAAGATAGTAAGATAACTTACCGTCATAAATAGCAGCTCTTGCCTCACTGATGATTTCCGCAGAGGTCTTACGCCGCGGGGGCGCGTAGAAAGGGGCACCAGCACCTCGTCGCGGTACCCTATCGCCCATTGCTATACCTGATTAACATACCCACAAGTATATAGACGGAAAAATATATGACAGTTATTTTAATAAACTTACATAAAAACCGATTAAATAACTCCGTGGAAAATAATTTAATGACAATTGACTTTTCAAAATAGATTAAGCAAAAAATGTTAAGGTTAATAAAAATATCGAATTTATTAGAAAAAAATATGTCGTTTTCATCCTGTCTTCACGTGACTATTTTTTGTATGATCTCAAATCAATTAAATCCGTCTTACTAATATTGTAAATATAAATGTTAAGTTTGTTTTAAGGTATTTCCTACACGGTTCAACGAATCCCGATGAAACTTTGCACAGATGTAGAACATAGTCTGGAAGAACACATGTGCTACTAAGTTTTTTTTTAATTCCGCAAGGCCGGATTGGCAGGCGACTGCTAGTTCTTTTATAAATTAACTTTACAATCGAAAAAATATATTTCAACTATAAACCTGTACCAATACTCAAGTAGACGTTGCTATAAAATACAGTAAATTTGTAAGGATTCAAAAACACAACTGATTATTCAATCGAAGTACAAAACATTTTATATAATCCAAAATTACTTTGATGAAACTAGGACAATATCATTAATAACAATCTATTCACATCACCAGACACTAAGTTACGTCGTCAGTTGTTTCATGGCCCACTTTCAAACTATCATTTGATAGCAGCCTTCGATAGGTGACTCTTCACATAAACTAATGACTTTTATAACATACTGACCCATAAAAATTTAAGTAGATTTATTATTTACTAGCTGTTGCCCGCGACTCCGTCCCTGCGGTAGTTTTTTTTTTATAACGGAAGGGGCAAACGATCAGCGGGAACACCGACGTGTTCAACGACGCCCATGGACATCAGCAATACCAGAGGAACTGTAGATGCGTTAAAATGCCAAATTTCACCGAGATCTATACAGCCGTTTAGGAGATATCTTGTAAAACCATCCATCCAAACATTCGCATTTATAATATTAGTAAGATATAAAACTTTGGCATATGCTTGAAATGCTAAATATTAGCAAAAAAAACTTTAACCGGAACAATGAACTTTTGGGTCAGAAAACTATTCCGGAATGTTTGAAACAAGGATACAATGCAGTTTCAATTTGATCCTCACATAAACTGATGGCTATTTGAAGAAAAATATGCTATTGATTAGTAATACTTCTCTTCATTCACAATTCATTATCCAAAATAAAATTGAGAATAATCTTTTTTATAATTTTAATAATAAAATACGCAATAATCTTACCATGAAATAATTAATGTAATGGTTGAAAAATTGTTCATATCACAAAACTAATTAGAACAAAAATAATACGATATACCGCCTACGTTAGGGCGGGCGCCGTGCTACGATTCCGAAACACAACTGCATAACAAAAAATAATATCGTAGCACTCCGTAGCTGCGTAGACGTAAACGACTATGACAAAAGTAGCAAAGTGTTTAATTCAAAACTTTATTACTGAGTTTATAATTAGTTTAAAGATAGGTTTACTTAAAGATGAGTATAGTTTAAATATTAATTAAGTTAAATATAAGTTTTATGACTGTAGCATACAGTTGCGAAAGCGGTAATCGAAATTTGAAATTCGAACAGCGAAAGTTTGATATTTATACTTTTTGGGTATGGTTTAGTAGAAAGTCCTTTGGTTATTAGGCTTTCACATCTATTTGTAAGCTACAGACAGGTCATATGAGACACGTGTTCAAAGTACTACTACCCACGCTTTGTATTTTAATATGTCGTACAGTTCAAGTGGTTGATTCGAGTGTTTGATAAACGTTGTAATGTGTATATTTATTTTATCTATATTTATAACGACATATACTAATACGTACTAATAAGTTACATATTACCTTTATCATTATAAAAAAGGTAAGCATATAGCAAATTTCTGCAACTCCTAAGCGCGGAATTAAAAAAAAATCTAGGGATAGTGTACGTAAATTTTCAAATCGGTTTAGTAGTTTCGGTTCCTATTCAAACAATTAAATCTTTTCTCTTTATAATATTAGTATAAACATACATAAGGCGTTTCCCGTTGGACTGGTCTACCGGATGATCAACCAAATGGGTCGATTGGTTCTATCGATTCCAAACCAACGGTCGGATCAACGGGAAACACTTTATGATAAAATTCAAGTACGAAGTGTAAATTTGTAATTTGCAATCTTCCACAACTTTGTTCGCGACAAAAGGCATGGATCGATACTGTATTTTTGTTGTGGCAACCGATACTAAGATCGGTTGCTTGGGAACTGAGATTAGGCAAACTAATCGAGTCGTTATTTCCTTTCGAAGAAAACACAAACGGTCGCAACAATATTAATCACTAGCTGTCGCCCTCGACTCCTTCCGCGGGTAATTAAAAAAAAATAAGCATTTGTGTCCTTCCAGGCTATCTTCTACATCTATGCCAAATTCTATTAAAAACCGTTGGGCCGTTCCGGAGATAAATTCTAACATTCGTCTAAACATTCGCGTTTCTAATATTATTAAGATAAGAAATAGGTAGAGATTGATTCTCTTTGAATAGTTGAGAGACAATTATATGTTTTAATAAGTAATTTAATGGAATTTCACCAAAAACTAACCAATCAAAGGAATAATGTAAAAGAGACTTGAAACATCTCATTTATAAATGGAAATGTAAAATATTTAAACAGTTAGCTTTGCCTTAATTTTAATCTATTTCGATTGTTATTTTACTTGTAAAAAATAAAAAAATACTAACATGTTTACAATATGCATTTTTTCCATCTTGACAACACGTGACATTTGACACAAATATGACATAGATTAAAGAAGCCAACCTGTTTTCAATTATTAATTTGTGTCTATTATTTTGGAATATCTATAGTTAAAAACAATAAATTAAAAAGATAAAAACTTATATTTTTTTATTTATTTATTACTTAAATAAAACGAATAAAAATTACAAAAGATTATAAATAATAATATTTCTTGTTATATCCTAAATTAATTTTACCAAAAACCAATGAATGTTTTGTACCACGGCTCCGGTTTCCTATTGTTATACCAAGAGTTAGGCTTCGGTGGAGTTGAATCCATATCAGGATCTTTAAACATATCGACATAAGATTTCTTGATGCCGTACAAAAAGAATGCAACGTATGGTAAATATTCTGTCATAAACATAGAGAATCTGTAATACCAATTCAACAACACTCTTCCAATTGTTGTGGAGTAGACAGACATTATAAAACATAGTGTTCCTAATTTGAATTTCGAATCGTAAGAAAGTTTCTTGTATTCGGGAGATGTTTCCAGACTTTCGTAGTCTTTGAGGTAGAGTAATCGAGGTGGGGTATCAGGTAAGCCATCTATGCATGATTTCTCTATTATTGTTGATACATCTACACCTGAAATAAGATTTTTTTTATTTAACACACAATAGACAAGACAGAGCGGAAAAGTACTATTAGGGAGTTTTGCGGTATTCCACTTTAAACTCGACAGTCATTTGAACGTTTTGTATAGAATGCAGCTTTTAAAGTACAAGGCTGATTGCTTATTACTATTATGTCGTCTTTTGTGCAAATCACTGCTACCTTATTGCTTTTTTTAATAAGGTATGGAGTTTCTCTCATTGCAAGGAACAAGGAAAATTTTCTGTAATCGGATACCGCTAAAGGCACTGACTGTACAATTAGTGGGGTTTTTAATGAATCAGCCATTTCAAAATCACTTCACTAGAATAAGTAATATAAAGATAATGAAATATTTACGGATTATTTATTGTTTTATGATTGTTACTTCATTGTTATTCTGAAATTAAAAAACGAACACTAGCAGTATTAACTACGGCATGTAACTATTTACCTGTATCTTTATGTTTTCCACCTAATTGTTCTCTCAGCCTTCTCTGCAAGTTAATCCTTTCGCCCTCAAAAATAATGAACCCGGGGACATCGAAAAGGTTCTTGGTGATGTACATAAGACTGTCGGATTCCGTCGCACCCATCACCGCCCATAAGCCGTCCATCATCACACGGGCCATGTGCTCGAAGTATTCCGGAACATTCTCTAAGCAAGGAACGAACACTCGATCCAAAAGTAATTGGAATACCTGGCGTGTTTCGTATATGTTTCTCCGACAGACGTTATATCTAAAATAAGAAAAAATTACGGTAAAAAATCGTGAATGCTGTATATTAGGTGTTTGGAATTTGATTATTGTATTTATAGATCGAGAGTCTAGAGCCGACAGACTTTTTTTACATTAATAACGGTGATTTTTATACATATGAATTAAATACGTAAAAAGAGCGTCGGTGGCTCAGGGGTCAAGCACTTGACTTGCAGGTCCTGCGTTCGAATCCTGCCATATACCAATGTGTTTTTCGATTTCCGATTTATATATGTACATTTATCCAACGTTCTTGCGGTGAAGGAAAACATCGTGATGCAACCTGCACATATCTGAGAAAAATTTCAAAGATTTGTGTGAAGTCAACCAACCCGCATTGGGCCAGCGTGGTTGACTATGGCCTAATTACCCTTAACTTAGGGTAGGCTCTAGGTAGGGTATCTTGAGCTGATGATGATGATTAAATACTAGCTGTAGCCGCGATTCCGTCCGCGTGGAATTAAAAAAAAACTCAAAAATTAGCCAATGTATTCTTTCAGATTATGTTCTACATGTGTGCTAAATTTAATCAAAATCCGTTGAACCGTTCCAGAGATACCTTCAAACTAACATCCATCCATCTTAACTTTCGTATTTATGTATATTAGTAAGATTGTATGTTATATTGTAACAATAATTAAATGAATACTGCCACACACGTTCTGTGGACTGTTTTAGATGACAAACACTTCAAAAATAGAACTAAACTTTACGTATTTTTCCTTCAAAAATTCGTCTGAATATTTTTTTTTAATTACTTAAAATATTTCTTACCTGTCTTCTAAGCCGAGCATGTAACCAATAACTGCCCAATAGTGGTTATACGCCTCCCAATCATCTGCCTCTAGCTGTCTTATACCGAATCGATCTGGCTTCAAGATTCCAGGACCGACGAGACTGAAGAGTGTAAGAGCGACATCTCGTTGTGATACCGTTCCTTTTTTCTTCAGACGTGCGGCGCGGCCATTTTTTATATGTGCGCTTCGTACAGCGGTAAGTGATTTCCATGAACTGAAAATAATGTTTATTTTGATAATCGTAATTAACAACATTAATTATTATAGATAATAATTCAGTTACTACGAAAAACGCGCGGGCTATTGCAGAATACCATACAGTACAATCATTACATGTTACTAGTTGTCGCCCGCAACTCCGTCCGTGCCGAATAAAAAAATTTAATTAGTAGCCTACGTACTTTTAGACTATGGTCTAAATCTATGCCCAATTTCAACGAGATACATGAAGTAGTTCTGGATATACATTCTAACAAACATCCATCCATCCCAACAGCATTTATATATATTATTAAGATACTTACACACTTCCCGGCTTCAGTTCACAAGTATACCAGGACTGAATGTGTAAGAAGGTAGCAACATATCTTTTGTATGCGGTGTATTTTGTGGACGATCGCCTGGAGCCTGCCAGCACTTCCAAAATGGTAGGAATAGCAAACAACGCAACTAGACCAGTCAACATTGAGTACGAAATGCCAAAGCAAAACCTACAATAAAAACGCTGGCCCCTGCAAAGAAAAAACAGGTTAAAAAAAGAAAATACATATGTTCGTAAATCGAAAATCTAATGTTTCGATTTGTAACGATTTTATTTCAAAAAAAATCAATTGACTTACTTTTTAAATAGTTTTTCATCGAACCATTCGGGCAGTTTCATTTCTAATTGTTCATGGCTGACCGTATCCGATGGTGTGTCGTACGACTGTTTGCTTAAAAGACCCTCCATGAATTGATCAACTGAAAATATGCAAGATAATTCTGATTTATTATAGACCGTTTAATTAACAATCTGCATAATACTTTTATCAGCTTTCATTTTAACAAATACTACCAAAACAATTTTGTTTGAAGTAACCTTGAAACTTATCCATCAAAGTCAACTGTGTGCAAGGACGGTAATTAATTTAATGTAATTCGACTTCAACCCTTGACGTACTATATTAACATATGATTCATTTAAGGCAACTAGTGTTAAGCTGCAAGCATGTGTTAAGACCACTAATGTTGAAGGAAAACTCCGCTCTACCATCCTTTGTCACGTAGAAATTTAAAATGATGTTGTACACATTAAGATTTCTACGTAAATGATTTAGTTTTATGATTATCTCGTGAAATAGCCCAGCTCGCAATAGCCGCCATAAAGTTTCAGCTATCTCAGATTTATTTCAAAGAGATGAGAGAGATGGCAATAACTGATATCTATGTAGCACTGGATAGGTTGGGTTAAGTAGTATTTTGTGCCTATTTGATTTCTGCCATTTTATTGCCAATGATCTGGTAGCGGTGTTGGAAACTCTTAATTATAATAGAGATAGAATTAAACAATAGCAATTTTAACAGGCGTTTTGAAGTCGGAACGGTACAAAGTCTGTCATGCGATTAGAAGATCCACCGCAAGTAAATATGCAAACTAGTTTTGCCCGGACAGTGCAAAGTCCAGAGTCCAAAGTACAAGAAATCGCTGATGTCATTCTGCTTCTCGTGTTTGTTTTTATATTATAAGGTTGCAAATGAGCAAGCGGCCACTTGATTACGTCGAAATATCGAAGCGACCGCTGCCCATAGACATCCGAAATTGCAGATATGTTGCTTACCTTTAACTGACGGAGGAGGAGACGCACAGGAAAAGGATATATCCCTTTCTTATGACTCCTCTCATCCGTCAAATATACTTCTCCTACCTATTCTTTTTTTTTATAAAATAGGATGGGAAGGAAAAGGAGTCTAAAATAAGGACTCCGTCAGGCATGTTTTTGCTATTGGGCATGATGTAAGGTTTAATACATACATACATCCATTAAATACAGATGTGTTTGTTGGTACACTAAAGTTTCTGCACTACCAAAAACACTTTTTTATTTTTTTAACGGTTTTTAAGACTTTACTATTTGCTGACGCTTTTGTATTTTTTTATCTATTTCTTAAATAATAATAGAACAATTTAGCCTAATTTAAAAATTTCTATTTCTATATTAAGATTATATGAATTGTGACAACCCTATTAAATAGGTAAATATTTTTTAACGTTCTTAATAAGTTTTGCCACTACAGTTTATTTACTGTTGTGACCTTGATATCTCGTACCGTCCGACGCGCCTTGTGTTCGCTTCAAAACACTTCGTATTGCTACATTAATTCAGATAGGACTATTGAATCAAATGTATGGAAGTATACTATGCCGATCGTCTGTAGGGAAAAGGTAAGGTTGTTTTTTTATATTATAAAGTGATAAAGGAGCTTGCGGCTACTTGGTTTTGAGTATATAACTAAACGACCGAAGCCCCTGGAAATCTGCCGATACAGGCAACCTTTAATCAATTGAAGGAATGCACAGAAAAATAATTTTTCCCTTTCCTATTCGTCTCCACCTCCACTTAATCCACTTCTTCCCATCATTTCTTTATTCTAAATGGTGTGGAAGGGAATGTGGACTAAAATTAGGCGTCTGGTACGCACACTCAACGGATAAAACGCGGAATTACTTCCACTCGACACCTGTCTTCTATTTGTGTACCAAACAAATATTTTTGTTGTTCGACCTACGACTGTCAAAATTATAATAATGACTTATTAAATCTTTACATTGTTTTTTGTTTTGATTTAAACATTGTTAACAAAAATAATTAAATTATTTAAAATATATACACACCTGTCAAATCCATGATGATTAATAACTATTCACTTTAAAAAAAAACTGATTTGTTATTTCCCGCCTTTAACACACGGACGACTTTACGCTATGTCATATCGATTCACACTGTTCGTTGTGAATAATGTTACATCTATTTTATAATCGTGCAGATTAAATATGACAACATAGAACATGTCCACTTATTTATATATTCGCTAAAAAAATATGTTTCGGTAACGGAATCAAAGGTCAAAGTCTATTTTTCATTCATTCGATAAAATAATGATAACTATTATCTATTTATGATTTATGACTTTGTAATTTTTGTGTGAATTGTATACGGAACAAGAAAAACACGTGCATACTAATGTACTAATTCATTGTCCGAGGTTGATGTCAGCTTTTAACAGTGGTAGAGCCCGCTTTAACATCTTCGCACGAATCAGCCCAGCTCGCCCGGTGATATACCACGACCACACAGAAGACAGGCGTCAAGTAGAAGCAATTCCGTGTACAGTCTGATGAGTGTGCGTCCCGGAGGCCTAATTTAGTCCTCTTTCCCTTCCCACACTTATTGTTATAAGGAAAGGATGGGAAGTGGAAGTGGACTTTCCGGATGAGAGGATGCATGGGAAGGGAAAGTATTTTCTTTCTGTGCATCCCCTCCTCCGTCGATTTAAGGTAGGCAACGCATATGCAATTGCGTATGTCTATGGGCAACGGTCACTTCGCTACTTCAGCGATTTCAAGTGGCCGCTCGCTCGTTTGCCACCTTATGATATAAAAAAAAAAAGTAGGGGGATGCTGCCAATATCTTCGGAACCTTGCCTAAAGGGACTCCTTTTAATTAATTATATTAATATTTTAGTTAATTATTCTTTTTTAATATTTTATTTAATATCATAGATTTAAGACTCTTTTGTTATAAAGTTGTTATATTGTAAAATATATCATTAAATTAATAATTTAGTGTAGTATGTGACAAATGAATTCAGTTACGACTTGAGGCTTTCAAGAAAAGAGCATACACCTTTCTTAAAGGCCGGCAACGCATCTGCGGTTCCTCTGGCATTGCAGATGTACATGGGCGTCGAATCAAATAATCTTTGGCGATTCGTTGCTCGTTTGCCCCCTTCTTCTATAAAAAAAAAGTAAGAGCGCGGACAATTTAGATTATACATCAATGACGTCATCTGTGGTTCTAATTTAATTATTGACTACTAAAACAAAAACAAGAGAAAGCGCAAGACAGATGACTGGCGATCACTGTCAGAGTCCAAGATCCACTTTGGGTCACTGCCCCAACGTAGTAAAAACGTAAATAAAACAAAAACACCCAGTTTTGGAATCAGGATTTCAAAAGCAGATACGAGTTTTCAATAATGTTTCATCATCATCATATTCAGCCCTAATTCGTCCACTGCTGAACGTAAGCCTCCCCCATCGATTGCCACAATGGTAGGTCCGGTGCCGCCCGCATCCAGCGCACTCCCGCAACCTTGACCAGGTCATCGGTCCATCGTGCCTTCCTACCTACGCTGCGTCGACCCGTCCGCGGCCGCCACTCTAGGACTTTTCGGCCCCATGGACCGTCTACTCCGTCCGTGAGCACTAACAAAAACATTGATAATTTGATATATTTTTCATTGCATATTTGTGAGACAGGAAATGATATAGTTATTTATATTTTATTTTTATAAGTAAAACTGCTTTATCGCGTATGATTAATCAACCCACTGGTAAATCAATAGCACTTTTCTAGACATGGATCCGATAAGATAATACGCGAGACATCGGTTCCGGTTTTACCGATAGACGAAAGAGACGTCGGCGGTTAAAGTGCAACGGTAATCTTGTATTTAGCAGGCGATTTAGGTCGGCAACTGTACCTTGTAACTCTGGGGCCAGGCTGTCAGGTTTTTAAAAGTTAATGAGAAAAAGCGCCATCTATTGTTATTGAATTGAACTAACTAGAGACCTACAAGGATATCAGACTCGATGGGTATAAAACAAACTAAATTATGATTTTATGATAGCACACTAGCGCCTTCCTGGTAATGAAAAATGAGTGTTGCAAGTTGGTTGCAAGGGTTGCAACTTACTTAAACAATAACGAAGTTAAGTTTAGGAAAGCCGACCCCACCACCATGTAGGATACGAGTTAGGCAGAGAGAGCATTTTAAATGACATTGGTTCATTACATATTTTATTGACGTCAGTTACAATGCCGTAATCGATGATGAACATTTTTTATATTTTTTATACCTTAAGTTGTCTCAAGTCATCTGCCATCATCTGTCACGGCACAGCTGACATTCAGTTATATTTATATACGCCTGACGCTTATGTAAAATAAAAAAAGTTGTTTATGAAATATTCATGTATTCGCACGTTTATTAATAAGTTGTATAAAAACCACATGGAGTATCAAGAAAATAACCTTTTACTTCATGATTTATGTCGCTTGTGCCTGGTAAATGCAGGTACCACATTCATAGACGAAGGTTTACAACAAAATGTTTTTGTATGTACAGGTGTCAAAGTAAGTAACTACTAGACTTCTATTTCATTTTCATTTATACCTATGTTTATTGAATTAAATAATTCCAATTTATTTAGGTATTTCTTGCAGATAATTTTCCAAATAAAATTTGCGTGACATGCTACGAAATCGTAAATAAAGCAATCGAATTCCGAGATACTGTAACTAAAAATGATTCCATATTAAAATCATTGCATGACAATACTGCCAACGAAGACGTAAGTTTTACATATATTTTCAGAAACTAAGTTAATTGCAAACAATTCTTCAGATTAAGTTTAAAATATTGTTATTCTTATTATTTTCATTGTTTTAGATAATTGAATACAGAATAGTAATTAAAGATGAAGATGTAGAGTCAGATACGGAGGCTGAAAGCAATTGTTGTGCTCAAGAAATTCATATTGAAAATTCTGAATCCAACGACAATTCCACTTATTCATGTATAGTCAATTTAACTGTAAGTATGTCTAAACTTACTAGTATTATAAATGCGAATGTTTGGATGGATGGATGGATGTTTGATTGAAGGTATCTCTGGAACGGCTCAACAGTCTACTAGTCTGGAAGAACATATAGACTATAGAGTAAATGGGTGGCGACAGATAGTAAATAATATAATTTTGAAATAAATGACATATCAATTTTCTTTTTTAATTTATCACAAGATATGATATGAGTGAAGTCAACCCGCTCTTGGCTAGCATGGTTGACTATGGCATAGCCACCCCTAACATAGGATAGGCTCCGGGCACCTTAGTGGGAATATATAGTAAGCTGCTGATGAATTATTACAATATGTATGTTCTGTATTTCAGTCAAATTCAACACCATTGGGCTCTTTAACAATCAGGAAAGATCTATTTCCAAATTCCGTACAGGTAAATTTATTACATGTAGCTTAAGATAACTAAGCATCTGACATATGAAGTTATTCTTCCCTAATGGAGCCTGTAGCATTTGTTGCGTTATATTTTGCTTGATCACGTATCGACGCGTGCTGCCTGTCCAAAGGTCTGACATCGACTGACGATGACAACCGACATGTACTTATGACGTGTATACTCGAGACAAACAACACTACATTTATGAATACATTATAGCGCCTATTGGTTTTATACTTACTTTTTAGTTTATTTTTATTAATTTTTTAGATGAAAAAGAAGGAGTTTATCAATTTGTTTGTATTTTTTATATCAAACTGTTCTTATCTTCAGGAAAAACAAAAAGAAAATATTGTTTGTGAAGAGAAAGAAAAAATTAAAAAATCTAAAAATCATAAAGATGTTATACAAGATGAATGTGAGGTAATATCTAAAAACTGTGTTTTTTATTGATAATATATTATAAAATGTGAAAGTTTGGATGGATGGTTGTTTGTTTGAAGATATCTCCGGAACAACTGAACAGATCTTGTTGAAATTTGGCATGGATGTATAACATAGTCTGGAAGAACACATAGACTGCTTATTAACTTTATTTTAGTTCCGCAGGGATAGAGTTGCGGGCGACAGCTAATTTGTTATGTATTTAGATTGATAATACATATAAGAACAATACATAAAAAAATTTAAATGTTTATTAGAAATATATTACTTTTATTTTCAGGAAACACATGAAGACAAGATTGATTGTAAAAATAAAGTTGAAAAAAAACCTAAATGTGAAGAAACAGATATAATTATATATAAATGTCGGGTAAGATATAGATTTTTTAAAGTAAAATTACATAGTGAGCTGATTATTTCAATTTACTATATATTATCACCGCCACCCGCGTTTCCTATCGCGTAATTAAAAAAAACTTAATTAGTAGCCAATGTGTTCTTCCAGACTATGTTCTACATATATGCCAAATTTAATCGAGATCCATTCAGCCGTTCTGGAGATATCTTCTAATATCCATCCATCCAAGCTTTCCTATTTATAATATTCATCAATGTGGTTTTTCAGTTACTTTACAAGTTTGACTTTTTATTTTTTTTATTGTATATTGAAACACAAAAAATCTTATTATTTTGCGTTTTTCTTTTCTAGGAATGCACTAAATCTTTTAAAACATGGAGAAAATTGTATCATCATACGAGACAGCATAACAAGACAAAAGCATGTCCTATTAAAGAATGTGGCAAAATGTTTTATTCCAAATCAGATTTGGAGAAACATATCAGAATACACACAGGTGTGAGACCGTACCAATGTAACTTGTGTGACAAAAGTTTTACACAAAAATCTACTTTGAATAGTCATAAAGATGCTGTACATTGAAATTCTATTGCCATTGTATTAATTATATAAAATATTTCTTTATCAAACATCAGGGAAATTCAGATCATAGGGATAAAGAAATAACGAATTTCATATCTCTTATATTGTAAGTCCACGTAAAAAATACAAGTCTCAAAAATGGATTAAGGTACATTTCAGGTGGAAGCGAGTCACACTTGTGGAGGTTAAGCCTTTGACGTGTGCCTGACGTTTAGTACTTATTTTGATAACTTTTATATTTTTTTTTAATATATCGTATGTTATATACATAATAGATATTTTTATCGCGATAAAACATAGCAGGCAACATGAAATGTATATGCAGCTATGTAGAATCTGGTAGTAAAACAAAGTATTAATGGTCTCTTTTCACTAATTGTTAGCCGTGCGAGTCTGTACACTTTAAGCTAAGTGGAAATGGACGCTAATTCCTCTAGTCATAATACAAATCCGGCTGATTCTTGAGTTTATGTATTATGTAAATATTTATGTTTCGGTCGTTTTTGACATTAATAATTAAAATAATTTGACGCGAATGGCGCGCTTTCATATAAACAAGTTAAGTGTCAGATTGATTAGTGAGGGGACATCAACGTTGATATTTTAATAAGGCTAGTGTTGCGCCGATTCACCGGCAGTGTCTGATTTTCTTCCTAACTACGCAATTATGTATATGGCGACTACGGAGAAGTAAACAGAGGTACGTTAATTTCCATAAATGATGGTTATTACTTCTGAATTTTTATTTAGTGAAAAATGTGACAAAGTGAAGTGTAATTGTCAAATAAGTATAGTTCTTCGAGAGTGTTTTATTTTTAAGAATTCCAACGTAATATAAGTCTTTTCAAATATCACGGCGGCTTAAGGTCATTCCCAACATACCCCACAGTGTGTTCTGCGCAATGAGTCGTGCGATGTTCCGAGCAGCCAAGGTATTTGAAAACCTCTTTACTTAAATATCCATCCAACTTTGTAAATAATGAGTAATTAAAAACATGGTGAAATAAACTCTTTTATTCAATATTATTTATTTACATTTTACTTACAAATTGTTACAGTTGATAAGTAAATACATAGCTGTACATTAGTCAAAAATACAAGTTAATAAAACATTTTTTTTCTTTCGGCAATATTAATACTTAGGAAGAATTAAAATCTAAAATGGTCATACTTTCCTTTTACACCCAATTGCAATTCAAGAGCAATGGAATACATACAGATAAATAAAATTGGAGTGTCTATATGTAATATCAAAATATTGTTATATTTCATGAAACAACAAAAACATATTTTTTTTTAATTTTTTCCGTCTCTTAACGAGTCCGCGATTGTTCCGGGAAATCCCCGAAATGGCTGGACCGATTTTAACGGGAATTTTAATGGATTACTGATTTTTTTTACAAAATAAAAATTAAATATTAAATCTACTTATACTATGCTTAAGATATTGTTATTCATCTTTATAACAAGAAAAAAAATCAATGGAAAGCATAAAACAGTAAAAGGAATGTGCAAACAGCTACAACTAGACCAAGGATTAGGGAGTCGCGACGTTTACGGGCGTTTATTCTATAGATAAGACTGTTCAGCATCGGAAACCTGCAAAATTATTAAATAATATTTATCAGTCCTGTTAGTTTAAAAAATAATCATAGAATGACAGTCAAAATAAGATACTTCTGATTTAGGCATGTTCCGTTTTAAAATCCTTAATTTTTTTAAACTTAGTTTCTATAAATAAATCCTATATTAGTATATATTAAAAAAATAACTCTAAAACTACTAAGCAGATTTTGAAAATAGCATAGTAGTTTTTGAGTCTAAACTCTTCAATCGTGCCACTTGGCTGTGTTAACACAATGTTACCTGTTGGCAATGTCGTTGAATCTGGTCTGCATACGCTTGAATGTTTGCCGCTGCGAGGTGAGGTGCTCGCGCGCTTCCAATGCTATGTTGATCTGCTCATCCACTAAGATGTGTGAGCTATGAAAGTAGAAATCATTTTAAGAGATCACGCAAGTTTCCGTACAATTGTAATTTAGTTGATACTGGTATTATTAAAAAAAAATATTCTAAACTAGACTAAATAAACTCAAATACTACTGTACCAGATTTTCCGAAATAACAGAGCGAACAAAGTAAGTTATGCTTTTTATTATCCCTATACACCTAAGATAAGTTAGCGATGCTCCCTAATTATGACAAAAAAGTAACTTAAAACAACTAATAATATAGTATCATTACCCATCAAAAACAACCATAATACATTTTCTACAACCAGTATCTAAATTTTTATAAATACCTCATTTTAAATCCAATAAAAATAAAAACCCTAAAATCCCTCTTTGGTATCACTTAGGATTTAATTTTGATATTTACCTGTGCAAATGATTAGCTTCTTTAGCATACTGGTCGCGTCGACTGAGCCCAGCTGCTGCGGGCGGCGGGCTGCCTCCGCGGAGTAGTTCCTCGCGCTCTCTCCTTGCACACACTAAAGCTGACGTCCGCGAGAACTCTTGTTGGTAATCCTATAATATACTTCATCATCGGCTTAAGGTTAACAACTACAGGATGTAAGCCTCTGACAGTAATGGTCACAATCCTCGGACATATTCCACCTCCTCGCAGAGTTCTCTATCAACATTGTCTGGGTTATTAGAGTATCAACTTTTACTATAAACTACTACTGAAGATTGACTCCTGGTGGGGCCAAAACTAGTTGGTGTCATCCCGGACAATCATTGGTGAGTTAATTAAATTAAAACATTGCCACTATGATTTTTTCATTTCAAAGTAAAACTTTAAGGTAATTAAGATAAAACATACCATCAGAATCTCTCTATGTCTTTTTATTGTGTGCATTGTAGCAGTACCACTGGGAGCTAGATCAGCCATTGTATCATTAATCGCAGACAACTGGAAATAATTAAAGTCTAAAAAACCGAACCATATGTTTAAAAGGGAGGTAACTTTCATTGAATGAGTCAACATTTTATTGCCACTGCATAAACTGACCTATAATTGCTGATGAAATTATATTAATCAAAACTGTAATATTTAAAATTAGTATTTGGTCATGTGACCACATGGACAAAGTAAAAATAACCAATAACTGTAAAACCAAATCAAAATTGGTTCATACATTTAGGAGCCATGCCACAGAAACAGACACATCAAACTTAAAACACCCTGTAGTTTTTGGGTCGGATGTTAATAATTAAATTACTCTCTATATTAAATACTCTACCTTATTTAGAAGTTGCTGAAGTTCCATAGACATTGTATCAAACATATCATCGCTGTTGATCAAGGGGGCTGTCTCTGAAGATAGATTTGATGATCCATATGTAACACCCAATTTACTAAATGCAACCAGTTTTACATCTATATCATTCTCTAGATGCCTCGCTTGCTTTCTTAAATCTAAAACCAAAACAAATTAACTATTTAAGTTATGGACTACAATTTGTTATTCTAAATTATCTGTACATAGATATAATTATAATAAAAGAAACTAAAATTTGCTAAAATGTATTATTACAGTTAAATCTAGTTGATGAGCCTTTTTAGAATTTCGTGCAACCTCGTACAAGTGTAATATAATTATAAAAATATATCCACAGAAACTGTTTGATGCAACGTCATAATTTCTAAAGATAATTGGTGACACCGGTAGCTCGTAAGTTGTATTATACTTTACCTTCCCAAGATGAACCTGAAGCCATATTCATTTTGTAAAATCGATATTATCAAGTAAAAGAGTTTTTTAATTGATTTTAAACAATATATAATTGTTTACAAATTTCTTGAGAGTCTAGTAAACTCAAGGTCAGTTTTTGTTATCATAAAGATTAAATGACGTTTGACGTTCATCTACAGATCGTGTTATGACGTTTCTGAAGTGACGAAGTGGTCATTATGGAATATCTATTTTTATGCTGAATTTAAGAGACAAGTGATAATGTGCATCAATATTGATTATTATTATATATGGATTATTTAAAAATATTTTAAAAGTACAAAAACGTGATTTTTGTACTTGTAAAATATTTTAGTTTTATAGCGTAACTCGTAACCGTCAAATGTCAATAGACCAAGTGTCAAAAATCAAAATGATGTGAAAAAAAACGCGGGAAAGTTGAAATGCGAAAGGCGCTTTTTTTAAATTAAAATTTTAAATTTCGTTTTATTTTGTTGAAAATCACAAAACTTTCACAAGTTTTATTACTACTGGGTTCTCTCATCATGGGGAAACGTAAAAAGAAGAAATTGCCGGAAGAAGAAGTTTTTGAAGAAACGACCGAAGAGGAAGAAGTAGATACAAGTACTGACGAAGATTCCGAGAAAGAGCAGCGTAAATATAAGCCGTATTTTGTATCAGATTACAGCAGGAGGTACCCTGAGGACTCTGTCCTCGTTGATTTTGTAGTTTTTATAGAATCAAACGAAGAAAAAAAGCCAATCGGCACGCGGGACATGATGTCTCTATCCACTCATATAAAGAGATTTAATAAGGGAATTAAATATTTACAATCCATGAACAAATACAAAATAGGCGTTCATTTCGAAAAGCCTTCTTTAGCGAATGCTTTTTTAAATAACGTTACATTCCTCAATGAATACCAAATGAAGGCCTCTATCCCAGCTGTTGGGACAGAGATAACAGGCGTCATAACTAATGTTCCCAATAATCTCTCCAAGTTAACAACTTACAGAAAGATTATATGTGTTAAAAGAATAAGGAGAAAACGCCAGAATGACGCAGGACGTAGTTTCCTGCAGCCGACGGGCACCGTGGCGATCACGTTTGCTTCTAATGTTTTGCCGGACCACGTCGATCTTCATGGTTGGCGGTTCTTAGTAAACCAATATATCCCACCAGTAAAACAATGCTACAACTGTCTCAGGTATGGCCACCTTGCAAAGTATTGTAAAAATTCCATGAAATGCTCAATTTGCACCGAAAATCATAGTTACAAAGATTGTAACATGACTCCCGATAAAGCTATATGCATTCACTGCAAAGGTAACCATCTAAGCATTTCTGGACAGTGTCCTGTTAAAAAACAAAAAATAAAAGAAAATCAGGCTAAATTACATAAAACCCCATTTGTTGACCTTTTTAATAAAAATGAATTCCCTGAATTGAACAAAAAAAATCCTAAAGATGCTCTTATGTCACTGTTAAAAAATGATGACATTATTAATATAATTTTAAATACAGTCATTAAAGTATTAACTCTTAATAAATCAAATGAACAAACCACCATATCTTCTCAGCTTGTTAAAGATGTTCTCATAGATACAATGAAACCAAAATAGATATTTCATTATTTAACATTTTATGGATCATTTTAACATTTTACAATGGAATGCACAGAGTTTAATTAAAAATTGCTTTCAATTTACACAATTTTTATACGAGAACAATATAGATGTTGCTCTTCTATGTGAAACTTGGCTTAAACCTAGGCAAAATTTTAGAGTTAAGGGTTATAATATTGTACGTTTAGATTCAGGTAATGATCATAATGGAGTAGCAATACTTCTTCATAACAAAATTGGATTTCGCATTATCAATACATTCTCTGATGACTCATTACAAAATATAGCTGTACAAATACAATACAATAATACATTATTAACCTTACTTAGTGTTTATTGTCCCCCAAATTCAACAATTAATTATAGCAAATCAAAACTAGATAATTTAATTCAAAGCTTGCCACAGCCAGTCTTTGTTGCTGGTGATTTCAACGCCCATCATACAATATGGGGATGTACTGAATTGGATTCACGAGGTAGGGACGTTCTTTCAAGTATAGATGACAACAATCTTGTACTCTTGAATGATGGTCAGATGACTACAGTAGGATCTCATAGATGGAGGCAGAATGCATTAGACTTAACATTTGTTTCATCTTCACTGGCACTGTCTTGTGAGTGGCAAGTATGTGATGATGACTCTCTAGGTAGCTATCATTTTCCTGTAAAGACAAAAATTACGGTCAATAATCAAATTTTTCAAGAAACAGTTGTATCAAATAACATTAACACAAAATTAGTTGATTGGTCAAAATATCAAACTTTAATAGATAACTTAATTAGAAATTATAGTTTTGATTATAGTAATCCTTTACAATGTTATACTGATTTAATAAAGCTAGTTAAACAAGCTATGCTTGAATCCATACCATCCAATCAGTCTTCTAATCAAAATGTTAAATTGCAATCTCCTAAACGAAATAAAGTAAAAGTTTCTCTACCTTGGTGGAATTCAAAATGCAAACAGGCAGTATTAAATTGTAAAAATGCATATTTAGGATTTAAGAATGATCCCACAGAAAGAAATTACATTAATTTTAAAAGACTCCAAGCTGTCAAAAAAATTACATTAAAGACTGAAAGACAGCTTAGCTGGAAATTACTATGTGAAACTTTTAATAGATCTACTCCTTTGACTAGAGTATGGAATTACATTAAAAAGTTTAACAAAAGCTATGTTCATAATAACACATCAGTGATAAATTCTAATTGGGCTAATGAATTTTTGAAAAAATATACTCCAGACACAGTTGAATCACCTCTAACTCCTCACTCATCAAATGATACACATTGTGATTATCTTACCAAACCTTTTTCCTTGACAGAATTCAATTCAGCTATTAACTCTAGAAAGGACACTACTTGTGGTTTAGATTCAGTTCCATATAAAGTTTTAAAATACATGAATACTGCCTGTAGAGAAATAGTTTTGAAAATATATAATATGTTATGGTTTCATTCACTTATTCCTAATGATTGGAAAGAAGATTGTCTAATACCCATTTTAAAGCCTGGTAAAAAACCTCACATAGCAGAATCTTACAGACCTATAGCACTTACATCTTGCATGGGTAAAATATTTGAGCAACTTATAAAATCTAGATTAGAATTCTATATAGAAAAAAATTGTCTATTACCGTCAAATCAGTTTGGATTCAGACGCAGTAAGTCATCTAGAGAAAGTATTGCATTTCTTCATTTAGACATCTTTAAATCAATGAATAATAATGAAGTATTAATTAGTATATTCTTTGACATTGTTGGTGCATTTAATAATGTCAATCTTGATGTACTTGCCTCAGAGTTGAGGTCTTTATGCATTCCTGAAAAAATTGTAAAATGGATATATAATTTTTTACATGAAAGAAAAGTTTTTGCTAAAGTTAATAATAATAATACAATTATTGGCCCTAGGCTCAGTTATAAAGGTGTTTGTCAGGGAGGAATATTAAGCCCTCTTATCTTTATTTTATATATATTTAAATTAAATATTATTTTAGGATCAAATGTTACTAATTTACAATATGCAGATGATTTGGTGATATATGCCTATGGAACAAATGTCAAAAACTTGGTAACCATTTTAAATGAGGCTTTAAAGAAATTGCACACTTACTTTTCACACTTAAATTTAGATATTAGTACTGAGAAAAGTAAAGTTTTAGTATTTAATAAAATTCGTCCATTTAATCCTAGAATAATTTATAATAATACATTTTTACCCATAGAAAGTTGTGCAAAATTCTTAGGTGTAATTTTTATAAATAATTTATCTTGGACCAAATATGTGAATTCTATTTCAGATAGAGCCTCTAAGGCTTTTAATGTATTAAAAGCTTTGGCTGGTACTAACTGGGGAGCTGATCCAAAAATATTATTAATGTTATATAAGTCTTTAGTAAGGAGTCATTTTGAGTATGGTTTCCTTTGTTTTGCATCAAATAAAAAACTAGTAAACAAATTAGATATTATACAAAATAAGAATTTAAGACTTATTACCGGTTCTATGAGAACAACTCCTATCGTGTCTTTACAGGCTGAATGTCTTACTCCTCCTATTTTACTTAGGTTTAAATATCTGAAATTTAGATTTTTATTAAATATTAATTCTTTGTCTCGCCATCCTCTTTTTCAAAAAGTATTATTTTATTATAATAGTATGTCTCCTATATCTAACTCAGCCCCATATATCCTCCATGACTTTCATGAAGTGATTCGATTTGATGAACAATATAATATTCACAAAAGTACATACACTTGGCCTTGCTATAAGGGTAATTATGAAAGTAAATTCAGTGATATACATATAAATATTGATGAAAAATTGAAAAGAAAAGAAGAAGTTTACGAACTTATATCTGCATATGATGAATGTCGACAAATTTACACAGACGGTTCAAAAACTGAAAATAAAGTAGCCTGTGCATTTTACATACCTCATCTGAAAATTGGACGTGGCCTTTCCATTTCTGCATCAGCAAGCATATACACTGCAGAATGTTATGCTGTATTAAACGCTCTTAAATATATAGAAGAAAACCCACATGTATCTAATAAATGGTTACTGATCTCTGATAGCATGAGTGTCTTGAAGGCACTGAAGACAAGAACTTTGGATGCCAAAACGTCTTTCATCATATATGAAATCAAAAGTTCGTGGTGGAAATTGAAAGAAAATAATTTGGAAGTAAAATTTTTATGGACTCCGTCACATATTGGTGTTCAAGGAAATGAAAGTGCAGATCAATTAGCTAAAAGTATAGTTACAGCTGACACTGACAGAATAACTGGTGTTGCAATACCACATACAGATTTGTACTCAATTTTAAAGCAACAGTTAAGAGAAGAATGGAAAATGCAATGGAATGCTGTTTTAGAGGCAGGAAAGGGTCGTTGGTATGCATCAATAAATTCAGAATTAAATATTCCTTGGTTTTCTCGCAACGAAAGATATCATTGCAGAAAATTTTATACAATAATGTGCAGACTTAGATTTGGCCATTATCGACTGAACGCTCATCTTTCCAGGATGAAAATAGTAGCATCTGCAACATGCAGCTTCTGCCATACAGAATCAGATCAGACTGCAGAACATATAATATTTGACTGCCCAGCGTATGCTATAGTTAGATTGCTACTTATTGAAGAACTCATGCAAGTTTATGAAAATTCGGAAAGCGTCCCGCGTGCCCTGCAAGATATTCTTAGGAATACTGATACATATTTAGCGCTTTACAATTTTATACATCATACTGTAAAAGAGATATGAAACATGGTATCCCAGTTTTTGGAAATATTGGATGATACTGGATTGACAAATCTACATGGATTGTAAATTCCAAAGATTATGATATAAAGACTTGGCTTTAGCCTTTACCCTTTTTTAAAATATGAAAAATTTAAGAAAATAAGACTTGGCTTCGGCCTTTATGGATTTTGAAGAGATGGAAGGAAGAAAAATAAGACTTGGCTGCGGCCTATATATTATAAAATTCTCTATATTCAAAATAAAAAAGACAAGGCTGTATGGCTTAGTTCCTTTGCCTGCTCTTTCGAGTGAATAATAAAAACAACAACAATCAAAATGATGTAGGCTGTATGGCTTAGTTCATTTGCCTGCTCTTTCGAGTGAATAATAAAAACAACAACAATCAAAATGATGTCTAACGTCTAACAAATTTTTACGCGGCATAGTGAATTTTTGAATTAACCCAAGCGAATTATTATAGTGTAAATTGTTATTGAAAGTATTTTATAGTTCATTGTTATGACTGATTGTACCCAGTCAAAATTACCATCAATTGTCGAAAAAGTTTTGAACCAAATCGAAGAAAGAGTACATAAAACGACTAATAAACAAAGTTGTTAATTACTTTCCGAAATATTTTAATCTTGTCTTTTAATATTTACTTTAATCAAGATACCTTTTTTAGTTACAGATGAAGATCTTCTGACTTTGCATTCTATATTTGGAGGTGTGTTACAAAGGGCTTTGGATATTATAGAAAAATATCCAACCTTCGTTACCTATTCGACTGCAAATAAAACGAGAGAACTCATAGAGATTAAAGGTGAAAACGACAGATGTTACAGAGTATTTCCACGTATTAACTTCTGTCCATGTCTAGCATTTAAACATCAAGTTTTAGAAAAGAAAACTCAGATATCTTGTAAGCATATATTGGCTGCAAGAATTCAACAAATATTGGGTAAAACAGTGAACCATGACGTGACTCATGATCAATATTTAATGTTAGTTAAGTCTATGTTTGATTTAGAAGACGAGAACAATGGATGATGGTACATCTGAGTATTATTTCACTGCTTCAATGGAATCTGGAAAAATACTCTGTAGTTTATTGAAAGCAATACAGTTTCAAGAGGTTTGTATAAATAGTTTAATTATAGCTTTTGCCCGCGACTTTGTCCACACAAAATTGAACAAAGAACAGAAGAAGTAGCCTATGTGTTCTTCCATATTATGTTCTATATAAATGCCAATTTTTATCAAAATTTGTTAAGTTGTTCTGAAGATTCTAACAAATATCAAATATCATGTTAATGCATACATTTAAACATTTCCCTTTATAATATTAGGAGAATTGTTCTAATTTAGAATGTTAAGTAGATAAAAGCAATAATAATACTAACATGACCACATACATACAGACATACAGAAGTGAATATCTTACTAATATTATAAATGCAAATGTTTGGATGGATGGATGTTTGTTTGAAGGTATCTCCTGAACATGTTAATGGATCCTGCTGATATTCGACATAGATGTAAAACATAGTTTGGAAGAACAGACAGGCTACTAATTACGTTTATTTCTTTAGTTCGGTGCGGATGGAGTCACTGACAGCTAGTCTTGTAAAATAACTGCTTTTGTGAATCAATGACTATGTTTTACAGTGTGCAGTATTTTGTGCTATGACAGAAGGTTTAAAGCTGACAGTGGAGGAAGGGAAAAGTGTTCAAGCTTCAGCCTATGTCCCAGCTGATAACTTTACAGAGTACCATGTAAGAGAAGATGTGGATGTTATGTTTAAGGTATTTTTTACCAATGTTTTAAATAACTACAACCAAATTATATCTTTATTTTATTTTGAATAATGTATAAAAACACATTTTTATATAGCATTAGTTGTCACCTGTGAATCTTACTTAGTAGCCTATGTGTTCTTCTAGGCTAGGTTGTAATCTATGCCAAATTTCAGCAAGATCTGTGCAGCCGTTTTGGAGATATCTTCAAACAATCATCCATCCATCTATACATTTGCAATTATAATATTAGTAAAATTTAATAATATCTATTATTATTAGTTTTTTGGTCTTTGTTTGCACAGAATTTAAACTTTAAAGATTTTAAAACTTGTGAATTTTCAATTTTATTTCCACCATCCACAAGCAGATGGTTTTCCGAAGACCTAATGGAGTCCTGGACCACTTTGGCGATTTTTGAATTTTATTTTCAGATAAGTATTGCAGTGTTAGCTGAATGTTTGAATATATTTGGTTCAGCGGAGGAATCGAGTTTGAAAATGTATTACAGATGTGAAGGTTCACCATTACTTTTAGTGTAAGTTGAAAAAAGTTAACATGTATAGATGTTTGACTGAAGAAGCGAGAGAGGTCAAGATCGCGGCAAATGGAGGTCTGTGGTCTCTGTCTACCCCTCTGGGTTACAAGAGTTATGTTTTTTAAAGTTAATTCCTTATATCTAGTTTTTATTTCATTTAGTCTTAAATGGTGTTGCAGAATCATAAAATAGCTGATAATTAGTTACTTTTTTTGTTAAATTTTACATGTTTATCAAAATACAAGTTGTCGCCCGGACTCCGTAAACTCGGAATTAAAAGAAAACTATGTTCTTCCAGACTATGTTCTACATCTATGCCAAAGTTCATAGAGATCCTTTGAGCTGTTCCAGAGATACCTTTAAATAAACATGGATTGATCTTAACATTCGTATTTTATAATATTAGTAAGATAGTTAATTCTTTTTTCTTGAAGTTAACACAATTATCAAAGTATTTGATGTGAATTTTTAAAAGAATTTAATTATTTCCAGGCTTCAACCGCAATCAGTTCACAATGTAATGACAGACTGTGAGATATCAACACAGACACCGGATTCTCTGCTAGATTTGCGTGATTCTGACGCAGATGAAGTCGCTAAGCTAGTGCTCAAGGCACCGGCTTTCCTTGCTTTATTAGCTGATTTAGAAAGATCCTGCGATGTATTGGAACTCAATCTATCACCTGAACATCCAAATGTTAGCATTGTTACATACGGTATGCAGGTAAGATTTCGACTTTGCTTTCATTTGTGTAACACAAATTTTTGTGATAAAATAAGTGTAGCCCACGACTTCGTTCTTGCGGAAATAAAAACTTAATAAGTAGCTTATGTGTTCTTCCAGGCTATGTTCTTATGTGTGCCAAATTTCAGCTAGATCCGTTCAGCCATTCAGAAGATACCTTCAAACAAACATCCATCCATCCATCCATCTAAACATTCGCATTTATAATATTAGTAAGATAACTCCGCAATGATTTAACACATCTTCTTGCAACCTCCTGTAACACGTGATTTTTCACCCCATTTTTTTAATTCTGCGCAAGAAGTCGCGGGCAACAGCACTGTATATACATATGAGTTGTTAATTTAAAAAAAATCGATATTTGTTAAGGACCGGTCATGTATAGACATGCCCAAGTCATCAGATATGGTGTCCAGCTTCAGTTGTGAGCAAGCTCTCACTTTGCGCTACCAGCTTCATCATATTAGGCTTTTTATGAAAGCTCTAGCACTCTCCTCAAAGGTTAGTCATCATCAGCTCAATATGTCCTCGCTGAGGGGCTCGGAGCCTACCCTAAGTCAGTGACTAGGTCATAGTCAATGCTGGCCAAGTGCGGGTTGACTTCACACATATTATTGAATTACTTCTCAGATATGTGCAGGTTTCATTACGGTGTTTTCCTTCACAGTAAGAACGTCGGATAAATGTACATATGTAAATTTAAAAACACAGTAATACTCTCTACAGGCTTTCGAACTCAGAACCTGCAGTTTACAAGTCAAGTGCTTAACTCTGAAACCACCGACGGTCTTTATAACTGGTTAGTATAGTTCTTTTCAAATATCTCAACGGTTTAAGGTCATCTGTGAAATAACGGATTTTCATTGCAAAAGTAACAAAGTTATTTGTTTTATTCAAACATGTTTTTATAAATGTTTTAACAATGAAAACTCAAAGAAATACATAATTGCAGGTAGTTTTAAGATTCAGTAGCAATGGAGTATTGCTGCTTCAATTGAAACTGGAGAAAGAAGATCAGAGACAGATGTTCTCCGAGTTCTATATTGTGCCTTTACTTGATGATTGAAATTTGTTAATTAATTTATTAAATACTTTCTATTTAATATAATAAAAATGTTTCAAAGAAAAATAAAAAAATAAAATCGTCTTATTTTCTACTAACTGAGGCCCGTGACTCCGTCTGCGTGGAATAAAAAACTTAGTAATCTATATGTTCTTCCAAATCAGTCAAAATCCGTTGAGACGTTATGCAGATATCGTGTAACCATCCTATTAGATAATTTCGTATTTAGAATATGTTATTTTTTAATTTCAGTTTTTTTTTATATTTTTCGGTTAAATTTTCCGTTAAAAAAATGTTTATACGTTTTTTAATAGAAAGTATTAAAATATCACAGATGATGTTTTTTTATAATACAGTCTATGGATATGTGGGGTAGATTTAAAATTCGTTAATCAGCCTTAAAATAAAGACGAAACATTTGTTATTCCTAGGAAAAGCTATTTTGCTCTTAAATGAGGTACATAATAAAAAAACAATATTGTGCAAAATATATAATGTATTATATTTCACTATTAAATACATCTTAACTAAGGAATGTTAATAAAAAAAATTAACAATTAAGACAATCGAGATAACAGCTTTTACATTGAGTTATATTCATAAGAATTAATTTTGTGCAAAAGTTAAATTAAACAAAGATATTTACATCAAAGTAATCAATAATTGTGTCACGGAGGCCTAATTTTTTACTCTTTCCCTTCCCACTCTTTTTCTTATAAGGAAAGGATGGGAAGTGAAAGTGGACTTTCCGGATGAGAGGATGCATGGAAAGGGAAAAGATTTTCTTTCTGTGCATCCTCTCCTCCATCGATTAAAGGTAGGCAACGCATATGCAATTGCGTAAGTCTATGGACAACTTTCTCTTCGCTATTTCAGCGATTTCAGGTGGCCGCTTGCTCGTTTGCCACCGTATGATATAGAAAAAATAATCAAGAACTGATGCTTACATGAATTATTTTTTCTTTATTTTCATAGCCGGATTTTGGCATATCCTTTATTACGTTTTATAATATTCATTACGGTTATTTCATACTTTTCAAGACTTAAATTCGCATTAAAACTTCGAGATAAATATTTCTGTAAAAACAATTTGTTATTTTCGACTAATACAGTTTTTAAAAGACCAAAAAAATATCGTCTACACAAAAAAAAGGACAGATTTAAGATATTTGATTCGTCTAAATTCCAATTATTTACATAATACCAATCAACAATCATGTTATTACAATAAGAAACATTTATTTATTCAATTCCAACAACAATTAATTACTTTTTTTTAAATTTATTTCACTATAATTTAATTTTAATTTCAAACACTTAAATCTGACTCGAAGGACCATCGAGAGACTGGTCTTCATCTCGTAACATACATCGCTATTTGAAGATTCGTATTTAAAATTGATTTTATAGTCTTGTTAAAAATCAGTTCAATAGCTTTATTACGCTTATGATTTTTTTAATCTATGCTTAAATGCACATTTTTTATACGATACAGATTTCAAAAAATCCAAAAATGGATTCAAACTATCCCCTGTATCCTAAAATCCTGTCTAAATATAATGACTAGAAACTTAGTTTCAGTTTAATAAGCAAATGTGGGTAGTTAGATAAATATCCCACATAGCAGATTGGCAATTCTTTACTATAGAACACTTATGGAATTGATTACAATTTAAAACTATATTATTATATAAAAAATATATATTTTATATAATAATTGTCGTTGGGTACATACGGAATGCATGTAGCGTGTAACGGAATTGTATTTAAAAATAGGAAATTGCGGGGCGGATATGAACAGCATGAACATAAACGATTCTAACTGTATGTTTCTATTGACGAGTGCGAAAGAGAAAACACATTTGCTATCCTTCTCTATAAAAAACGAAAGCACAATGTTAATATTAAAAAATATTTGAAACATGAAGAAGAAATACTTAAGTAAATAACAAAATTTCTATATATATAATTTACTACCTTTATTCCTTATGTATTTACATTATGTAATTAATTTATGTGTTATTGCACAAAATAAATAAGTTAGCAAATTGTAAACTACCCAGCATATAACAAGGATATTGTAATAATTATAATAAAAACAAATAAATAAAAAGTGCACTTGAAAGTAAAAAACAGTCCCGGGAATGCTTTTTTAAGACAAATAGCCGCAACAACCAAATTATCTTTCTAGTATTTCCCGCGTGATTGTAAACATTTCTGTTATTTTTTATTCCTTCTTGAATATATTTACTAAATAAATTAAATATTAAAGCCGACATACACTCACACCAGCGATCAGCAGTTGACAGCCATACACGAACCACGGTCACCAATAAAAAGCAGTCTGTTTATGACCTTAACCTATTCACTTCACCAAAGATTATAATAATTTTTACACCAAACCACAAACGTTATTATTTATCAATTTTAATATAATCTTTGCCAATCTTAGTATTCCTTGATCTGTAAATTTCTGAACTGACTCGTCAACTGACAGATGTCAGCCACTTGTCAAATTGACAGGTGACGTTAGTACGAAGTGTAGCTGTCAAGACAGCTGAATGTATTACAGAAGAGTAAATGTTACATGAAGCTGTATTTGTTCTCCACCGCCCGCATGTCCTGGGGGGCGCTACTGGCGACCAGTAGTGCCTCCATTTCCGCCCGTCGCATTCTTACGTCACTACCAAGTGATAGTCCAAGCTGAAAAAAAAACAAGTAAATACAAGTCAACCTTAGGGTAATTTCAAAAAAAGCTTGTCGCTTTCATATTGTCGTGAAGCGTCTTATTTAAGCTTAACTGTTAATAAAATTACACAAATGATTAAAGCCTGTATCCCAGAGTAGTAGGCAAAGTTAAAGTGATGAATTTATAGAAAAATCTAAATATTTGCTTGTTTTTTTATTTACATAATTTGTGATTAAACTTTACGAAAACTTGGAAACCTATTAAATATAACATTAAGAAATATGAAAACAATACTAAGAATTCCTTTAAATAGTATGAGGAAAGAAGTTAAGACAACTTACCATAAGATATACAAAAGCACACCAAACAGCAGGCAAAAGAAAAATAACCAGCAAAAAATAAAAAAAAAACAAAGCCATTCAGCAGAATAAGTTTTAATAATAAAATTTACAACAAAAGAAATGTAATTAAAGCTCGAAAGAACATGAGTTCGATTTGTACAAAAAAAATAATAAAACAAAAATTAATTATGAGTTTTCATTACTGAAACATTTGTACAATAACATGTTTCTGTTCATGTTCCAGCAATGAAAACACACAGACATACAATCTATGTTAGTATAATATAACAGTCCATCAACTAAATCAAATACACCTAAATCTTAAAATGTTACTACAAGTAAAGCTAATATTACTGGATACTGGCAAAATAAAAACTACGTTTGGACTGGATTACTGTGACTCGGATCCCAAAAGCAATTTATTACTATACTATTTACATAAAAAAAAACTCTGACAGTTCCTCAAAATTAAAAAAAAACAATTTTACATTAAAAAAATTGTAGTTAAAAATCTTCCTTATACTTTAATTTATTTTTAAAGTATAACGTTTTAATTTTTTATTTAATTTGTGTTGTTTAAAATATAATTATTTACTGTCAGAGTTCAAGTATATAGAAAAGAAACATGAGTTAACACTAAGAACAATAGACAGAAAGACAAAAAACATTACACAATTGTGATTTTTACCTATTCCTAGTAACATAACTTAGACAAAAAAATATATATAAATAATATTTTACAATCGAAATAATAAATAAAATGCATGCTCAGAAATCAACGAAATATCTTTTATATACGAATTAAAAAAAAATTGTAAATTTAAAAATATATACTTTTTTAATATATTGAAAAGTATTAGGTGCACATTCCCCTTTTCACGTCTATATAATTTTTTGAATAAAAAAATGAAGTGTTGCCAGAGGAAATATATCTATGACAGAGTCATCATAATATTGTATAGAGAAAAATAATATTTTTTGTTCATTTTTTATTGTTCTGTTTCATAAAAAATAGAACATCTAAAAGAAATAAGAATACCCTAATTCTGCTTATTAATAATTAAAAAAAAATATACTAAAACTGTCAATGTCAAAACCATATCATAACAATGTTGCCATACAAAAAGAAAATAATTACAAATGTTTAATGTAAGTAGATTTTAGTTATTTCATAATTTGGTAAAAAAAATAAAGATTACAATATTTCATAATTATTATGAAGACTGTACTGAGAAAAATAATAAAAAAAATGATTTATTTACTTTAAACCGAAAGAAACGTAAAAAAATGTAGCTAATACAAAAGTATGATCAGATATTAAAATATATTTTTGCACATGCAATAAAATAAAAATGGACTTCAATTTAAAAATAAAGGCATGATTTCATTGTTATTTACCACCTTTTATATGGATAAAAAAAATATATAAACGAGATTGCTGAGCAAATAACTATTTACATATAACCTACAACATTAATAGCAACATATTCATAACAATAACAAAATTATTCATAAGAATAACAAGTTAGAGTGCGAGTGACACAAATGTTGAAAAAACAACATAAAAAGATAGAAATCATATTACGTAATAAATCAAATATGATATTTATATGTAATTTTAGTATATTTGCGGTAGGATTAAAATAAAATTTAAATTGTAAACAGTCAAGTTCTGACATGTTTAAATTAAATCAGCAAATTCTATTAACATATTGCATATATTTAATATCAGAGTTCATATTAAGTCAAACAAGCAAATAAACTGTGACTGATTACTGTGTTTAATCCAGAGATAAAAAGATATAAAAAAACTAAACTAATATTTACATAGAAAGGCGAAGACTTCGGTGGGATTCTAAGCCTCATAATTATTTATGCTTATAGGTAAATCAAGTTGCATATTATAATATTTAAATGGACCATAAATAAGTATATTTGTTCATAAATCAACATTTATCTCAACTCGCGTAAGGTGAGCCAGGCGGACCTACATCCAGTGTAAAGTGAACACAACATCTAAAAT